GATACGGTTGAGACAGATTGCTTAAGCATAGTTTAGGGACCATCAAGACGCAGATTTGTGAACGTTATATCCCCGAGGTCAGTGCAACAGCAACAGAGGCAGCTAAACCGAGGGATAAATTTAATAACTCACCACGGGAGGAAATGTTAGAGGTGTAGGAAGAATATACATCAGGGGAAATTCCTTGATGCTGGTAAGGGGCTGTTCATGCTAGGAATTGAACCCCTCTTGCCCTTCCATCACATCAAGGGAAGTTCCTTGATGCCGATGAGGGGGTTCTTGATCCAAGGAATTAAACTTCTCTTGCCCTTTCACCCCTTCCAAAGAGTGTTCAACATTAAACAGTGTTGCCATACAGTGTTCAACACTACTCAATGTCACCATACAGTTTTCAGCGCTACACGGTGTCACCACACAGTGCTTCCGCACAGTGTCACCACACAGCGCAACCACACAGTGTCATCACACAGTGTCACCACACAGTATCAACAGTGGTAACACACAGTATCACCACACAATCATCACAGTGTCATCACACAGTATCAACATAGTGTCACCACATAGTGCTACCACACAGTATCAACACAGTGTCACCAGTGTCATCACACAATAACACATAGTGTCACCACATAGTATCACCACATAGTGTCACCACACATTATCACCACATAGTGTCACCACACAGTATTACCACAGTGTCACCACACAATATCAACACACAGAATCAACACAGTGTCCCCACATAGTGTAACCACACAGTGTCACCACAGTGTCATCACACAATGTCCCCTCAGTGTCATCAGTGTCACCACGCAGTATTAACACAATGTCACCACCACAGTGTCACCACACTGTCACCACGCAGTATTAACACAATGTCACCACAGTGTCACCACACAGTCACCACATAGCGTCGCCACAGTGTCATCATACAATGCCACCACACAGTTTCACCACATAGTGTCACCACATAGTGTCAGCACACAGTATCACCACACAATATCAACACAGTGTCACCACATAGTGTCACAACCCAGTGTCACCACATAGTATCACCACATAGTATCAACAGTGCCACCACACAGTGTCACCACAGAGTCACCACAGTGTCACCACAGTTTCACCACATAGTGTCACCACATAGTGTCAGCACACAGTATCACCACACAGTATCAAGACAGTGTCACCACACAGTGTCACCACATAGTGTCACCACATAGTATCACCACACAGTATCAACAGTGCCACCACACAGTGTCACCACACAGTGTCACCACACAGCATCACACAGTTTCACCACAGTGACACCACATAGTGTCATCACGCAGTGTCACCACACAGGGTCACCACACAGTGCCACCACACTTTGTCGCCACACAATGTCTCCACACAGTACCACTAAACAGTATTACCACACACTGTCAAAACAATTTTCCGTGAATACGATTGAAAAAAGTCAATTCGGAATTGAATATCGTGTGTAGCGTGTGTAAGGACCTTCACAGTGATGACTGTTTAATTTCTAATGTATTTTTTTCAGTCTCGTTTGGTAAATATTTCTCTGTTGAGAATCTACAGTGTATGAGAGAGGACTGAGTGTAGTACACTGTAGCCAGACATAGTGTCACCATACACAGTATGGCCAGACATAACTATAACACCACTGTGTCACTATACACAGTGTCATTACACACACAGTATCACCACGCACACAGTGTCACCACTCAGTGTCACTACACAGTGTGTTACTACACACAGTGTCACCATACACAGTGTCACCATACACAGTGTCACCACTCAGTATCACTACAGTGTCACCACACACAGTCATCACGCACAGTGTCACCATACACAGTGTCACCACTCAGTGTCACTACACACAGTGTCACCACAGTGTCACCACTGAGTGGCACCACACATAGTGTCACCACACACAGTGTCACCACACACACAGTGTCACCACTCAGTGTCACTACAGTGTCACTACACTCAGTGTCACTACAGTGTCACCACTGAGTGTCACCACACACAGTGTCACCGCTCACAGTATCACCACACAGTGCTCAACACTCCTCCACTACACACACACACACACACACACACACACACACACACACACACACACACACACACACACACACACACACAGTATACCATCACTCAGCATCTTCAACTTTAAACTTAAGCAGTTGCTCAAGACAGAGTTGCAGAGTCACTTTCTTTCCTTCAGAAAAGCACTTCGTCTTATTAAGAAGGTTTTCCCCTGACGCCTCCCACAGTCCTTCTCCATTACAGTTATTTCCTGAATAGATGAATGTAGCTCCCAGTATTTCTTCTATTTTACTTCAACTTTCTATTACAAAAAAAAGAAATTGATAGACTTAGTTTAATGGTTTTCACACACACACACACACACACACACACACACACACACACACACACACACACACACACACACACACACATACTTCTTTCCTCCCTCCTTCCAATCCCTTTTAACTCCTACTTCTCCTCTCCTGCTTCTCCTTTCATCCTTCCTTACACCTCTCCTTTCATTCTTCCCTTCCTCCTCTCCTGTCCTTCTCTCCTTCCTCCTCTTCTCTCGCCCTTCTTCCACTTCTCTCTTTCTCCATAACTTACAGTCACTTGGCTCATTATTCCTTAAGATTCATGATTCTCCTTGTCGTTATCCAGAGTTGTGCACCTGGTGTACACCAGGTGTGCACCAGGTATGCACCTGGTGTACACCAGGTGCACCGTATCTTACTTTATCATGTCACAATGCTGTTTAACACAGGAACTACACGTGTTACATTCCTTATTCAGTGAGTTCATTATGGAGAACACTGGGACCACGTTATTCCTCGTACCTTAATAATAATAATTACAATATCAAGAAATAATAATAACGACAAAATCAAGCAATAATAATAATAATGACAATATTAAATAATAATAATAATAGTATCAAATAATAATTATAATGATAATATACTAGTAAATCAAGGCAAAGAGTATGACTCCTTATGAACCTCGAGGAAAATTGCTTGAAAGGACGATGATTCAGGGAAGATGGTGACTCAGAAAAGACGGTGATTCAGGAAAGATGGTGACTCAGAAAAGACGGTGATTCAGGAAAGATAGTGACTCAGAAAAGACGGTGATTCAGGGAAGATAGTGACTCAGAAAAGACGGTGATTCAGGGAAGATAGTGACTCAGAAAAGACGGTGATTCAGGGAAGATAGTGACTCAGAAAAGACGGTGATTCAGGGAAGATGACGATTCAGAAAAGACGGTGATTCAGGGAAGATGGTGACTCAGAAAAGACGGTGATTCAGGGAAGATGACGATTCAGAAAAGACGGTGATTCAGGGAAGATGGTGACTCAGAAAAGACGGTGATTCAGGGAAGATGGCGACTCAGAAAAGACGGTGATTCAGGGAAGATGGCGACTCAGAAAAGACGGTGATTCAGGGAAGATGGTGACTCAGAAAAGACGATGATTCAGGGAAGATGGTGACACAGAAAAGACGGTGATTCAGGGAAGATGTGACTCAAAAAAGACGGTGATTCAGGAAGATGGTGACTCAAAAAAAGACGGTGATTCAGGGAAGGTGGTGACTCAGAAAAGACGGTGAATCAGGGAAGATGGTGACTCAGAAAAGACGGTGATTCAGGGAAGATGGTGACTTAGAAAAGACGGTGATTCAGGGAAGATGGTGACTCAGAAAAGACGGTGATTCAGGGAAGATGGTGACTCAGAAAAGACGGTGATTAAGGGAAGATGGTGACTCAGAAAAGACGATGATTCAGGGAAGATGGTGACTCAAAAAAAGACGGTGATTCAGGGAAGGTGGTGACTCAGAAAAGACGGTGATTCAGGGAAGATGGTGACTCAGAAAAGACGGTGATTCAGGGAAGATGGTGACTCAGAAAAGACGGTGATTCAGGGAAGATGATGACTCAGAAAAGACGGTGATTCAGGGAAGATGGTGACTCAGAAAAGACGGTGATTCAGGGAAGATGGTGACTCAGAAAAGACGGTGATTCAGGAAAGATGGTGACTCAGAAAAGACGGTGATTCAGGAAAGATAGTGACTCAGAAAAGACGGTGATTCAGGGAAGATAGTGACTCAGAAAAGACGGTGATTCAGGGAAGATGACGACTCAGAAAAGACGGTGATTCAGGGAAGGTGGTGACTCAGAAAAGACGGTGATTCAGGGAAGATGGCGACTCAGAAAAGACGGTGATTCAGGGAAGATGGCGACTCAGAAAAGACGGTGATTCAGGGAAGATGGTGACTCAGAAAAGACGATGATTCAGGGAAGATGGTGACACAGAAAAGACGGTGATTCAGGGAAGATGGTGACTCAAAAAAGACGGTGATTCAGGGAAGATGGTGACTCAAAAAAAGACGGTGATTCAGGGAAGGTGGTGACTCAGAAAAGACGGTGAATCAGGGAAGATGGTGACTCAGAAAAGACGGTGATTCAGGGAAGATGGTGACTCAGAAAAGACGGTGATTCAGGGAAGAAGGTGACTCAGAAAAGACGGTGATTCAGGGAAGATGGTGACTCAGAAAAGACGGTGATTCAGGGAAGATGGTGACTCAGAACAGACGGTGATTCAGGGAAGATGGTGACTCAGAAAAGACGGTGATTCAGGGAAGATGGTGACTCAGAAAAGACGGTGATTCAGGGAGATGGTGACTCAGAAAGACGGTGATTCAGGAAAGATGGTGACTCAGAAAAGACGGTGATTCAGGAAAGATAGTGACTCAGAAAAGACGGTGATTCAGGGAAGATGGTGACTCAGAAAAGACGGTGATTCAGGGAAGATGGTGACTCAGAAAAGACGGTGATTCAGGAAAGATGGTGACTCAGAAAAGACGGTGATTCAGGGAAGATGGTGACTCAGAAAAGACGGTGATTCAGGGAAGATGGTGACTCAGAAAAGACGGTGATTCAGGGAAGATGGTGACTCAGAAAAGATGGTGATTCAGGGAAGATGGTGACTCAGAAAAACTGAAGATGAGAGAGATGACTTACCAAGTAAAGTGAAGAAGGAGAGGGAGACGAAGTGTGATCTGCCGTGGTCGTTGCTGGCCTGGATGGCTGCTGTGTACTCTGTTGCTGCTGATAGTCCTGACACCCTGGCTGACCTCGCTCCTCCACCTGACACTTCCACGTA